GAATGATGGAAAGACTTTGAAAGATTGAGGGAAGGCAAAGCCATGCTTTCTGTTTAGAGAAAAAAGCAAAGCAAAGATTTGGACCTGACCTCAACCTCCTAGTGGTATGGTGAGCACAGACACCAAGATAGTGCATTCTAAAACGTTTCTTCCTAAATCTATACATGAAACATCCCTCTCTTAGCCTTGAATTCTATGTTTACTCAGGAAAGTGGTTTAATTACTTTTTTTCCTTATGTCATGATGGATCCTTCTTCTAAAAAATTTGTGATGATATTGAGAGCGACTGAGTTGGCAGAATATCCTGAAAAACTCAGATATCCAATCAGCACATTTCTGAGTTGGATCATCTACACATAGCAGCATGTCTCTTTATCTTAAGCAAGTCCTTACTAGGACTTGTCACACATGTGTTCTCTCTTCAACTGCAAGTTTAAACTATCTTCAGTAATCTCCCTTTGGGTAAAACTTCAGGAATATAGTGTGGCTCTGCATAAAACAGCTTCTTGGTCAAAACAGGGCTGAGTCCCAGTAGATATTTCATGGAGATATCCCCATTCAAGGCAATGCTGTTGTTTGCCAGGGAGCTTCCCCACACTGAACGGATAAACCTTGTTCTACTTTGGCCTTCCCTGCATGTGTTTCCACGCTCCAAGGAGCCTTATCCGGATCTTTTACAATGGCAGAAACACCCAGCACTTAGACATATTTCAGTGTTATTGAGATCAGGAGAGTATAGAGTAATGATAAACATGCTATATTAAGTGCCACCTTCAATTCCAGCCGCCCAAATATCTTTTGCACGATCCTGCTATACATAGTGATTTCATGATTGACATAGACATGTTTCACTTTAAGTTATATGCCTGAAAATATTTTGTTGTTTCTCAGGCAGAAAATGGGGATGCGATTATCAAAAGCTAATGCTTGGCTTGACACACTTGCTAGACAAAAGTAGACCCTTGTTTCTAACCTTATCAAACCAAATAAGCTTTTTTCAAAGTCCCCACTCCCTCAACACCATGATCAATCTCTCTGGCATCTCTGAGCAAGACTGAGCCAAGAGACTGATTCCAAATACAACAGATGATAGAAATGCCCTCAAGTGGGACTACTTCATTTATTTTATCAACAAATTTAATCCCTGTGAAGGAACGCCTTTGTCCCTTACAACTGAACAATAACTAGAAAGGCATCTGTTAGGAGCAGTCTATTTAAAATGTAGTGATGGCTATTTGACCCTAAGAAAATAAGGATACAGTCACAGATTTATGTATAGAATGTTCATGTCAGTGTTATTTATAATATCAATATTCAAAAAAATCTAAATGTCCAACAATATGATATAAGTTAAATACATTTTCAGCCATATGATGCAATTCTACGCAGCTATTAAAATGTTTTATGGCAATATTAATTGTCATGGGAAAATGCTCATGATCTATTTCATGGGGGAAAAAATGGTTACCCAACACAACGTTTATTGTGATCCTTGATTTTAGGGAAAAAAAGTGTATAAACATTTGATATACATTGTCAAAGCCTTCCTGCCAAAGACCACCAGGAACACACCAGTAGTTGAACAAGCTGGGTTTATTTTTCATTGCAGTGAGGGAGAACCTGCACCATAGAGAGCCGAGGGGCATCTCAATAAGAAAGTGTTAGAAAGGACTTATCATAGGATTGGAGCTTGGGTTAAGTGATTCTGAGACAGGTTTAAGACAATGGGGCTTACTCTGGATTGACTGCTGTCAGGAAGTAGGGGAAGTTTTATGATTGGGTGCCTTAATAAATCTTTAACTAGAGAGAGAAAAGACTAGACCAAGGCAAAAGCTGTCATTTGTTTTTTAAAAACTCACAATAGTTGCTCATATTAGCCAGGATAGGACCATGTTTGGTCATTTTTGCGGCTTCAAGAAGGTTCATGTTCTGTCTGTGTTCAGACATGATTATGCAGCGGTCGTGATTTTGTCTGGCTCCATCAGTTATAGAATGACCTTATCTGACATGAGTGTTGTGGGGAAAGGTCTTTAATCAACAGGAGAGCACCAAAGCTTAGTTGTGAGTATGAGGGAAGCTCCGAGCTGAAAATACCAGGCCCACTTCTGGATGGCAGGGCCTGACTTTCTTTTTCACACACACAGATTCCAAAAAGGCTATAATTATAATAAATAGCATTTACTAGGCGTTTGTGATAGTCCAGGCCGTGTTGTAAGTGCCTTGCATCTCTTGCCCTATTTAATCCTCGCTGCAAATTTATGGGGTTGGTACTAGGATTATTGCCATTTTCCGGAAGAAAAGACTATAGAATAAGGAGGTTACGTTACTCATCCAACACAGCATAGTAAGTAGTAGAGCAAGGGTTCAACTTAATGCCTATGGAACCGATAGCCGTAATCTCTATATTGTGTTGTCTATGTGTACAGTACATTATTAACAGCAGTTACCTTTGAGAGGTGGTGGGAATACAGGGATACGGGTGTCTTTTTGTTTCCTTCTTTTTCGTTATTTTCTAAATGTGCTACAATTAATATGTATTATTTTTAATCAGAAAAAAAGGGATCATTTCCGAATGTACCCATGGAAGCCCTGTTCCCAAGGTCATTGCCCCAAATGCAAACCCAGGGCTTGGGTGGCGGCAATGCTCCCCTGAAGGTCTGAATCAAAACAGAAGAAAAATCATCATCATAAGGAGTCCATGTCTTCCTCTCTCCTCTCTCTCTCTTGCTACAACTCAATTTAGACAATACTAACGTGATTGCCCACAAGAAAATGTGGCAGAAAGCTCAACTCTCAGGTCGAGCTGTGTCTCTGAATTCAAGCAGAAGTGTGGAAGTTCCCCAAACATACATAAGGACAATTAGGAAGAGTTGGAAGGACTAGAGGCAAATGCCTAGGTCTCAAAGGAAGGGCCCTTTCCGTGTGGGAGGACAGCACTCCCACCCCGGCCCGCTGAGCAGTGCTGGGTTTCTTTAGCTCTAAGATTCAGACCGGGAGCAGAGAGAGGGGACGCCTGTGCTCAGCCTGCGTGAGGACTAACATTAAAGGGCCAGAAATTCTAGGGGTGAGAGAGAACCAAGCTTAGGAGGGAACCATTTGGAGGGACAAAGACTTCAGAATGCAAAGAGCTTCGCCGAAATGTTAAAGGCTCCCAAAGAGACCTGTGGGCTGGGTTCCCTTCTCTTACTTCTGTCCCTACGCTGGCATCGTGGCACATGAAACAGCTCTGCTCACTCCAGGCACAGAGACCGACTTTAGGCCTCCTGAGAAGTGCCCACCCACCAGCTGCCACCCGCTCAGCCGCAAAGGACTGGGTTCGCAGTATTTCCCACTGCCACCGCACCCCCCCCAACCCCGCCCCGTGGGTCTTTCTGTCTGGCCCGCGAAGAGCCAAGCAGGGCATCCACCCTGCCATTTAGCACCTTGACTACGTAGTGGTGGGTGGTTTCCCAAAGCGTGTGCCTTCGCAGCCACTCGCGCTCGCCTCACCGCTTGCAGGGCCACAAGTCAATGAGGCTTTTCCCTCCGCGATCATGGTGAATCAGCAAAGCGCTGCAGAGCGGCGGCATCTCCGCAAGCAGAAATTAAATGCTGGGGGAAGGGCACAAGTGGAGTGTTGCAGGGGAATTTCTAGCCCCTCCCAATATGTACCTCCGGGGGCAGGCAATATGGAGGGGGGGCAGGTGTCGGGTGGAAGCTGCTGGTGCACCTAGGCGCCCAGGGGGAGCCTCTGGAAGCAGTGAGCAGTATGGGGAATAGCGAGGGTGAGCAGAGAAAGTGAACGAGAGTAGAGATGGACAGAAGGACCTAGGGAGCGCAGGCAGAGCAGAGCGGGTGCACCCCCGGGCTAGGCAGAGCAGCAGTTGCAGGTTTTGCTGAGGGAATGTAGGAAGAAGGGTCTGGTGTGGGGGAAGGGAGGAGAGAAACCAAAAGAGGAGGATTTCCCAGCCCACGACTTCCTATTTCCAACGTGCAAGTTCCCAAGTTCAGTTTGAGAAGTGCAGGGCTGCTTGGCATTGGGGAATCTGGGATAGGAACATTAGGGAAATACCTCCCTGAGTCGCGTCTCCCACCCATTTCCCTCTCCCTCCCTTCTTCCCCTCTTTTCCTCCTCCCCCTCCTTCTCCTCTTCCTCCTCGCCCCATTCCAGCTCCCTTCAGCTTTGATTAATATGCATGCCCATCCTCAGTAGTGCGGGCCACCCTCCAGGGACCGCGCCTCCATTCAGGCCGCCTCTCTCTTGACCCCTGGCACTAGGAGGCCAAACAAGAGTGACCGGAGGCGTGGGATGGTAAAGCCGAGGGCACGAAGCCTGGGGACCCCCTCACTACGCCCCGATCCCCACCCCCATGGTCCGACAGAGCGCCTCAGTGGCCCAGACTATGAGAACCGGCTAATTCTGCTTTGCAATGGATGGACCCCGAGGCTTGGAGCGCGCAACGAAACGCGCTAAATTGTACCTGTGCGTGGCCGTTCCCGCCGCCGCCGCAGGTCTATCCCCGGCCCGAAGCCGGCGCCCGCCTTCTCGGGGAATTCTCTGGAGGGGGAGTGCGAGGGGAACCACAGTGGCTGTCTGATCTCTCAAGGCTGGCGCGCACACGTACACGCCCAACTTTGCTGAGCAGTCGGCGCCCCCCGGGCTCCCCCGCGCCCCCTGCGGCTCCGCACGCTCAGAGACCAGTATCTCTCCAGGTCTGAGATAAGGTGTCCCCCACTCCCATGCATTTGAGGAGAGGGTGGGGTGGAGCATAGAAGGGGAGTAAAGCTACTGACTCCCTGACCAGCTGTTCACAAACACTCCACACCCGCAGGGGCGCCCGCTCCAGCCCCGCCGCACCAGGTCCCCCAGACCCGCCTATGACGACAGAGGGGGGAGGGGAGGAGGAGGAGGAGGAGGAGGAGCAGGAGGGGGAGGGGGGAGGGAGAGGAGGAGGAGAAGGGGGAAGAGGAGGAGGAGGAAGGGCGGAGAGCCCGAAGTCCGGGAGCAGCGGATCCCTGGCGACAGGCTGCTCCATCGACTGACCATCATTATCAGCACTTTTAGTACTGGGGGACGGGGTGAAGAGGTTGAGGGGCACGCAGAACTGCCCAACCCCAATGCACTCTGGAGCGACCCTAAATGAGGGCCGGAAGGAAGATTCTCCACAGGCGCCTTCTGGGTGGACGTGCCCCAGACGCACTCCCGGACTCCGTGGTCCCGCGGAAGCTGCAGTGTTGGGGATATTTTAAATGGCTCTTACTTGAGAGGAGGCGTGATTTCCACGTTCGAGCGTCTTCGCTCCCCACCCCCTCTCCGCAACAGCCAGTGCGCGCCACCACCTGAGCCTGGCAAGAGCCGGGGCGCACGCAGTCTTCAGCCTCCTCCTTTCCGCCTCTGGGGGGACTCGGCTCTAAGCGGGGTCCGCCCGACGCCCCCTGGGAGAACTCTTTACTTTTTGTTTGGAAAATCGGGGCCATTTCTTTATTCATCTCTGGGCCTCCCCGGAGGAGGACAGGGGAAGGGAGGGCGTGAGCGGCGGGCCGGGGGAGGGGAGCGCGGGGAGGGGAGGGGACTGGGTGTAGCCTGGAATTCTTCGTCCTCGTGTTCCTAGGCTGGCGCGCAGTGTCTCCCCGCGAAAGCGCCGCCACCTCTCCCCGCGCCACCCCGTCGTTGGCCTTGGGGGTCGGGTGAGTGGGGACATGACGCGCCGCGGGGGCTGCCCCGGGCCCCTCCCGCGCTGAACCGGGACGCGGCCCTGCTGCGCGGAGCCCCTCGGGCGGGGAGGCAGCGGAGGGTGGGGAGGGCGCACGGG